GTCTAAGGTAGGTTAAAATTGCACAGATGGCACCGTCTCTGTCAGACAAATTTAGGTACATATGATTGGCCACGGCGAGATAAAATTCACGACTAAAATATCTTCTTAATATCATCTGTAGAAGCGCATGAATGTTGTGTGCCGGAAGGGTTACTTCGTACGAATCTCTAAGCTAGCTATTAATGCGATTCAGCTAGACTATAAACATACCTAATTTTAAGAATTTTTTATCACTGCACATTTTATGCCAAAAATTTCCGAATGACTAAGAAAATTTCCGAATATTCGGAAATTTTTGGCGACCTCTCTCCCCGTCGCCAAAAAAATTTTGGTCAGTGTACCATTTTAAGGGTCAAAAAATTTTTCCGGACATACCAAAAGCCAGATATTAACTAAAAATTGCCTGAATCTCATGATTTTCGTACAAAAACCTTTTACTATTATTTAATTCGATAATTTGGCAGTCATCATTTCAATTTCAATTAAATCATTCTCTTGTGTTAATTAACAACTTATCAAATCAAATTTTATCACTGCACATTTTACATTTTATCACTGCACATTTTACTTTTATCACTGCACAAATTGGTTATCACTGCACACTAAAATTAGGTATGACTATAAATCAACAACGCATACAACGCTCTTGTCATTTTCAATATTTTACACTTGAACTATATTTATAAAGTGTGTCGCAAATCTTGGCAGTGTCAATAGTTTAATAACAAATATGATAAAACCAAACTTACCTCGCAAATGTTGATTAGAATAAACCAGTCAACGATATCTTTCTTTTTAATTAAACAAATGTTGATCCAATGTGAAAAATATGGTTTATTGTTTTGTTCATACTAACGCGTCAGACATCCTTATATATTCGTTTACAATAAATCTCGCGTACGTACAAGTGCTAAATCTAGAGCAAGGTTTACAAGAAAGATTGCATATCATGTGATTATTGTAGGAAGTGTGTCTATTCTAAAAATTAACATATGAATATATGTTTTTGAGGTAATTAACGCATCAAACACTCGCTGTGCATAAATCACCTGCATGTCTTTTGTCTGGTGTGAACTGATTTCTGCCCAGCTTCAGTATTTGTGTGCGGTTTAAAGACAACAAATTCTCTGGCAATCGAGATTAGGATGCAATCTTTTTTGTAAACCTTGTCCAGATTTATCACTTATATATACGCGAGATTTAGTTATAATACGAATATACTAGAATTCCTGACGCGATAATATGATCAAAACAATAAACCGTATTTTTCACACTGTGTCAACATTTGTTTAATTAATAAGGATAAAATCGCTGACTGGTTATCCTTCTAGTCAACATTTGCAAGGTTTGCAAAGTTTTTGTAAGTTTGGTCTTATTATATTTGTTATTAAACTATATTAATACTGCCAAGATTTGCGACAACCTTTATAACTAGAAGTTACTAACGCAAGGAAATGCTGCTTCACCCACAAGGGATGAAAGGCAGCATGCGCAATTTGCTGAATAAGGAGCTGTTTTTATGATCCCGCTTTGCCAGGACGAGATATGAAGCGGAATGATTTCGATATATTGAAATAAGTCACAGCGCACAATTCAGCAAAAAATTTCATTATTTCAATACATCAAAAATCACCCCACCTCCCATCATGTAAACAGCCCCTAAAACGCATGTTCAGGAAGTAGAAAGGTGCAATTCGAATACCAAACATCTTGTACAATGTCAAAAGGTCAGCTAACTATTCTAATGATCTATTCTAATTCTAATACAGTCAGTGGTGAAGCTAAGTCGTAGGTTCAATTCCCACCTTGGCCAGGCATATTTTTCGGTGTGGATATACACTCAGAGTAACATCACAAACATCATATTCACCTGAGTACATTATCGGTCATGCTACGGTATACAAGTTTTTAATAATTTTCATTATTCAAATAGATCCAGGTTTATAGGTGCGGCATGACCAGTTGACATTGTAGCCAGCTTGCAATTGAATAATGTACAATATCATATTATATATAAACAATAATAATACTTAAATGAATCATTGGACATGTAGAATTTAATGACAATTTCATATACAGAAATATTAAGTCAGTTTTTGACCCAATTATCGTTTTAATGACACCTTCAAAGTAATCTGTGATCAGACCTATAAATAAATAGATAGGCCTGATACAAACCTTAAAGACCATGTAAAATCCGTTCTGCGCATACGTTCTGTGCAGGCTTACATTCCAATAGTTGGGACCCGACCGTTGGAATGTTATTAATATTTTGTATGTTTTGAACTTTCTTGAATTGAATCTATAGTCTGTATTCATTTACAAGTATAGCGAACCAGAACAGTGTTAAAAATTCAGTATAATATATATCTAATCATATTTTGTAATTGTAGCACTGAGTTCAAAATATAAACAAAGCGTTTGTTTACATTACAGACTTTACATCGTCTTTAATAAAAGATCATGCCTTACAATCGTTTTTCGGGTGTAAATCTGATTGGTATATGAGACAAAAAGATTTTTGAATCTGTCATTTGATTGGTTGGTGCTAATTATATTATATTGTTGTTTATAGTGATCACAACTATAATTAGATTGTTGTTGCCATTGTGTGAAATTTAAATTTCTCCTGCAACATTTTGATTGGATAATAAATATAAACTTTGCTGCAAATAGGTGGAAAACTATCGGATTAAGGTTTGTGTCAGGGTATATTTGTAAAATAGAGCCTGATCTCAGGTTACCTTCAAAGCTATCCACACTACCATTGGAAGCAATTTTATATTAGAGGGCTGATTAGTCTGGGGTAATTATTGCTAGTTTACAAATTATTGTTGCTACGACCCTGATCCCTAAATTGCAAAACAACTGAACAATCTGCTGATGTGGCAATGCCTGATGGGGAGATAAAATCTGTTTGTTGAGAGTTTTGTTTCATTTGTCAGTTTCTGATGACATCATTAATTTGTAATGATCAAGAGTGCACTCAGTCAGAATTGCAAAACTATATAATACAAGAAATTGTGAGCATTATAAAAAAATATAGTATACCCTGAACTGTAGTGACACGGCCAGGTGAATATATGCTAACAAGTAACAATAGACATACATCTCAGAGATATATTTGTACAAGACCGTCATACCTTTTGACAAATGTCGGTTGACATGTTATTACATGTAACTGTTGGTAAGTTAATAGTGCAGACAACAATCCACACTGGGTTGCTATAGGAATATCTTTCTACAAGTCAGATCTTTTTTCATTCGTATACATATTTATGTGTTCCAATGCGGGCACGATACTTCTCATTTGTTATTCCCATTATAACAATATTATAATACACTATCACTGTGATTATTTATACCTTGATGTACGATGTTCTATCAAGCTCAAACAGATTTTTTACTCCACTTGTTTTACAGTATTAATATATGAAGAGTTGTATACTTGTATGGCACCTAAATTAAAATTTAATAAAAATACAGTTGATTCATTCGACCAAAACACATTGTTATTTGTGATCAAACTTTCATCTTACCTTGAAAAATATTTTCGATAAACGGCCAGATGCAAGAAAAATATTTCGATAAACAGCCAGACATAAATTTGCAAATTGCAACAGGCAACGACGCACATGTTTACAAATTTTAATCGTTCATGGTGGTGTTCGTGAGTCTGAACCGGGGTATTCGGAAAGTCAAATCGCGATCTCGAGTACGTTATTTTTTAAAATTTTTGTGACGTCAAAAAACGTCATAAACTGAAAATCCGTACATCCGTCAACAAAATCGAGTTGTCGTTCGGCTATACATAACTCGGCCAAAGAGACTGGGCACACGTAAACGCAATACTTCATGTTAAAAATAGTGTGCTGCCTTCGGCAGCAAATATAGTTCAAGTGTAATTTATATTAATGATCGAAAATGACAGGATCGTTTTATATGCCAACGCATATATTATAGCATACATTATAGTCTAGCTGATCAGAACTTTGTCCGAAGAAAAACTCTTCCGGCACTCGATATTGATGCCTTTTTATAGATGATATTTATTCGTGCATTTTATCTCGCTGTGGCAAATCATATGTAGCCTAACTAAATTTGTCTGACAGGGACGGTGCCATCTGTGCAATATTAATTTTGAATATCGAAATTGTAGCGACGCTGTTTAATTTAATACGAGGTAGCTATGCTCACACGGGACGACATCATGATAAAAGCTCACTGATGTAATATTACATTTTATGAAATGAAACGCTTTATTTTGACAGTCAAAAAAAGCGTTACACTTTACGTCAGTTTAAATGATGTTTCCGTTTGTCTCACTGTGCAGTGACTCGCTATTCACCAACTCGTAACACGCGAGTGAACTGCCATTCGCAATTTCGCACACTCGTAACTTGCGAGTGACTAGCCATTCACTGTGATTGTTTCTTACTATTTATGAGTATGTCTATGATTTTCAAAATATTTGTTTTCACAAACAAGTGCAGCGTAGCGTATCTGTAGGTGTGAGCTTTGAATCAAATTTTAATAACATCGCTATCCTATGAACAGAACTGACTGCATGAATATTGCATGTTATAAATAGAACTTACTGTACTTTAAAAGCTAACCGCATGCTACTACCGCATTAAACTTTGAATTAGATTTTCAACTTGTTATTTTGCCACGTTTGTTCAAGTCCAAATATATTTCCTTTTCTTAGGCGTTTGAATTGGTCGGATAATGCGAGCTAGACGAATTTGGGTTGACTGTGTTGTCATTTATAGTATTCGGAATTTTCCGAAGAGACTCGAAGCTTCAAAGAGTATTAACACGAGTTTCAGAACGCATTGAAGAACGCGTTCCGAATGCGTTCTCGAACGTGTTCCGAACGCGTTCAGGAAGGTGTTCCGAACGGATTCTCGAAGGTGTTACGAACGCGTTCTCGAAGGTGTTCCGAACGCGTTTCGGAACGCATTCGGAACGCGTTCGAAGCATTAGGTTACTTCTGAGCAGCACTGTATTTCTAAAGAATTAATCCCCCGGAAAATGTCTCCCCTCCTACCCCCAACTCAATATTGGTAAATGAAACTTTTAAGATCTAAATGCGAGAAACAACATTGAATAAGGGGTAGGGGGCAACAAATTTCATGAAACAACGTCTCAATGTTAATATTGGCGTTAAAAAAGTTAGGTGTCGACATAATGTTTGCCAGGATTGTAGATTCAGATTGTAAGTGTATCATTACAGTTTGTTATACACAATACCGCTCCGCTCCCCCTCTCCTCTCCTCCCTCCCCAATCAAGGTAGCTTAACAAAATCACATCAAATCTGACGAGAAATGGGTCACAACGTTGAACAGGGACGTGGGAGATTCGACGTTTGCTGAAATTCAAGGTTTTTGTGGCATCTGTCCCAAGATATTTGAAACTGATTGTAGCTACGCGGCTACACAAAGCGACTATTAGTGCTACAGTCAGTTACGACTATTTGAATAGTGTTGGTTTCTCATGGTAACGATGAAGACGACAGGTCAGCGCATTGCAATTAACGAAGAATAATTGAAGAATTGTTATGCGACTTATTGTTCTAGGTAGGAACATAGCCAAGTTTGTAATAAAGTACAGCTTGCGGTCTAGATGTAATTCACATTCAGGTAAGCCAAACTTGTATCTGAATAAGTATAGATATTGTCGCCTGCAAACTTGCAAATAATTTATTAGGAATATTAAAGTCGAATTTCCAAGAATTTTCGCCAGAGTTTTTAATTAGCCATTCCGAAGTTGATGGGAGGACTGGAGGCGAGTGTTAAAAAGTGCCCAAATTAAGAAATGAACCAAATTACTAAAAATACCACCTCAAAGTTAGCAAGTATACAAAGTTTGAAAACGTTTATATGAATACTTTTCGAATAATAAGCTTTCGAAAATCGTGATATTTACTATGAAATATATACTGTAATTTTTGTTTATGTGGACGCGAGTCTCAAAAACTTAACAGTCTTTAATAATCAGAAGTTTCAACATTTTCGAAAGCTTAATATTCGAAGGGCATTCATGTAAACCAAGGTCTTTTTTAACATGCAAGGTGGGAGGGGGGGGAATGGCCCCCTTGTGCCCCACACGAAATCACATTTTGCTCCCCGGCATATGCAGGGGAATGGCATTTCTGGGCTTCAAATTTCAAAAATTTTCTGCGAGAGTATGCCCCACACACGTGGCCTTCGGCCATTGCTATCCCCTTCTAATAGGTGATAAATTCTGGTTAATATTTTTTTACTTTTTGTGCGTTTTTTTTCCTTCTTTTATTTCAAATTTGGATGCTCGGAATGCAGGAAATTGCATTTAAGGACTTCAAATTTCAAACATTTTCCGGGGGAGTATGCCCCCTGACCCCTTTATTCATGCATGGTGTTTCGGCCACACACATGGCATTCCGCCATTGCTATACCCTCTAATATATTATCTCACAGAAAGGTCCTTTTTCAAAAAAATAGCCCCCCCCCCCAAAGGGAAAATCCTCAAAGAAGGCCCGGATGTAAACGTCTCCAAGCTTTGCATACTGACTAATTTTGAGCTGGTCTTTTTAGCGATCTGGTTCATTTCCTAATTTGGGCACTTTTTAACACTCGTTGCCAGTCCACTCATCAACTTCGGAATGGCTAATTAGTTTCACATGAATTACTTGTCAATAACGAATAATTTGATTTAATGAAATTGGACAAATTCATTAATGAAAATTGTAAACATTTTTCTTCTTTACGTTTCGATTATTAAATTAAGTCATCTTCAGAAGAATGTCACGTATTTTGAAAAGCCAACTATAAAGCCCATAGGCTAGATGCTTGCGCGTTGAAAGTTTGATAGCGAGATATAATTATATAATTGAAAATTGTTAATTCTTTTGACGAAAACGCACTATGGTTCAATGCAGGATTAAAACTACGTATATGAAAAGCCTCGTTTTGATTTACTGAGCAAGTAGTTTATTTACCATTGTTTACTAAATTGCGACTACCCCATTGTGAATATACTAAGATTAAGCCTGTTGTTACTTCTTAAAAACAATCAACATATTATGCGATTTCTGAATAGCTACGTTTTGATAATAATTCTTCAGGCATTATTACGTACGGAGATTCGTCAGGAACTTCGTTGCTTGGATTGTCATACATATTCAATGCATCGATTGGACTTCCATGTTGTAGACATTCTATTGGCAGTTGATAACCAACGTCGTATTCGGGTACTGGTGGTAGTTCTCTGATATATCGATTGTCACTTTGATAAGCAGCATTGCGAATGTTACGAATGTCTCGCCTGTTCTCCTCTCCTTGTTTTCTTCCAAAGAGAAAGCAACCCGCGATAAGCATTGCTGTTATTATGGCAACTACGACTGCCGCCACGGTTCCGATAATGATAATAATGTTATTCATTGACGGCGATTGACTGGACGAACCTAGATCAAGATAATAAAAGATTTTATTTGGTAAGCGTTCGCGTGCTTATATTACTTTGATAGCATATACTTGAGTACTTTGAAACTATTTTTAGCTGGAGATATTTGGCGAAACCCAGATGGAACAATAAATTATTTTCCCTTTCTGGGAGTCGAACCCATGAACCATGATTAAAGCTTGACCTGAAACTACTAACTTCCTCTCCTGCTTAGCCGGCCATCGCACCTGCTTTATAGACCAGACATCGAAGTCATCCCAGATTTTCTGGTGTACTGGGGCCAATGCTCGCACTGTAAATACGATATAAATTAATTTTCACCATATGTCAATTTTCCTCCCCACATCAAGATACGCAATTTAAATGGACAAAAAACCGACATGGCAGTGCATGATACAGGTCGAATATTAACTTGAAATATTACTTATAAAATAACATTAGTCTTCATAACTTTAGCATTTCGAACTTTGAAGAAAGTATGTAACAATAAAATTTTAATAGACTGACATTTATATTGTCCTTAGCGTTCTGCAATGGATATAGTATTCTAAAGAACGATGGAAACGTATTGATTATTCATCGTCACTTTCACAAAGCGCATTCTGAACACGCTCAAATTGCTTAATTAAATTCTTTAAAGAATGACGGAAAGATGATGTCATTTATTTCTCTAGATGTCTGTTGAGAGGTGGAGACAATTAAAATCTCTCAACTTATATAACCCTTAGTTAAAATTTCACAAGCTGTTTTAATTTATGTATTTCTACATCTATTTTTATTTTAAAATATCTGAAACTCTTATATATGGTACCAATGCAGACAAGATTTCCGCATAAATATTTCCAAATATATAAACAAACTGCATGTGTCAAGAATTGGAAGTTCGCTTAACCAAAGGACAGCTTATCACCTTTCGAACAACAAGCCCCTGGGGATTCTTGTCAATGAAAGAGGGTTAGATTAAAATTGTCAATTTGATGTGCTGTGTGGCAACTTGATTATGGAAGTGTCCCTAATTGGAAACAGTTAAAGTCTAAACAGTTAAAGTTTTATATGAATACATTTAGCCACACCACCTGCATGATCTGCCGAATAATATATGTAACAACCATTGGGCTACATTTTATATATCTTTAGAGACACCGCAGCAACTCAGGGCAAGGGTCAACTGATGTTTTTTCTTAATTATCCATTTCACTCCAATGTGCCCAATTTTAAGCACTTTGTTAAATGTTATCGTGCCTCATGTCGGACAATTTTTATTTGTCAAGGCCTAGGGAAGTGTCCACTGTCTAGCTAAACTCTTCCTATTGTAGTGCATCGCGTCAAGATTCGGAATATTTAATAGAACAAATGGAAACCAACAGTCTGACTCGGTGGTTATAGAATTAATATTAATTACAAAGTGCAAGCAAACATTACGAGTGCATTACTAATTAACTTATTACTGTGGTTAGTTGTATATTAGTAAGTGGTGGATGCTACACCCTGCCTGCGTGTCACGCTCTATGCTTTGAAATAGAGCCGGCTACTGAAGTCGATGAAAAGTGGATAGTCATTTGGATGCACAAAAACAACAACCAATCAAAAAGGCGATTGTTAATTAGATTATCAAAATTAATTTAAAATATTACAATAACGTCCAATTTTTCAACCAACATCTCGAAAATAAATATTCCGATTTTCATTATAGTCTAGGACCTGTATATGAGTTTGTATGCGTTTCATTCAGGACAGTAATCTAAACTGTTTTAGGGTAAAATGACCATGGCGGTCAACACGGCATATGTGCCAAAACCTGAATCCCGGAACTAAAGTCCTGAAAATGACCCCTCCCTGAAACAGCAGTGTCGACATAGCTCTAACTTCTGAAAAGGAAAAGCAATAGCCTTTCTCAAGTGCTTATAGTGTTCAGAAGGATTGGTTTTAGGGGTGGTCATTGGAAGGAAAAATTTGTCTTTGTATAATATATTACAAGAAAATGACGATGTACCACCCCAGGTAAATTGCTAATTATGCACAAAAAAACTAATAAGCCTGGCAGATATTAAATTTTCTTATTTCCTAAAAAATTATCATGGGGTGAAAAACTATGCTCAATTTAATATAATTATTGTGGATTTCATAAGGATTGTCATTATTTTCATTAAATATAATACATTTTATTTCACTTACCCTCCACGAAAACACGATTTCATCAAGTTTGAAAACAGTGCAGTGTATTTTATCTTCGATATTGTTTCCTTCGATATTTCGCGAAATGTTTTTATAAATAAACATATTTTAATAGTAAAGATATAACAATTGCCCAAGAGCTTTTAGCTCATCAAGGGGCTCTTGTTCTATTAACAGGAATTTGGTTGCAAGTAGGGGGTAAATATATTATGTCAATTTAAAATTTTTTGAAAAGTTGGACCAATAAACAAAAGGAGGAAAAGGAGAGAAAAAATGAATAAAGGTGTATATGGAGGACTAACACTGGACTATTAGGTAATTACAAAACGTTTGGAATTAATTATAAAGTCTTGTACCGCCAAGAATAAAGTTCTATTTGAGTGAAAGTCAACTTCGTTACATCCATGTAGCAAGTAATTAAGTTTAACATTATCGTTAGCAGTAGTCCAGTGGTAGTTAAGACAGTCTGCAGCCGAAGTAAGCAGTTTGAGCGCGATTGGCCTGGAAGCGCGAGCAATCCAACAAGTAATGTTTACATATCTCTCGGTAGTATCCGCACGCACAGGCAGGAGAAGAAATACAATTATGTCGAAAGAGGTCGTAATTCAAAGAAATATTATGTAATCGTAATCTTGTGTGCAGGATCGAAGCATATCTTGAGCCTACTTCGAAGGGTATATTCTTTCTACACCTCAAAAATAATCTACCTACATTTGTATTTGAAGTTGCCTAAGGAAGGAGAGTTTCTAATATCGACAGGAAGAGAATTCCATGCACAAATTAAATAGCAGAAGGTAAGAATTATTTTTGAAACCTTGATGTTGAACAAGACATCAGCGAAATATCTTCACGGTTGCGAAGGAAATAAGTAGATCTTTTAGAGACTGGGCAAGGTATTAAGGATGAGATATAATAAGGTATTAAATTGTTCATCATTTTGTAAAATAATGAAATTTTGTGAATATGCCGTCTAGATTTCAAGTAGTCCCAACAAAGTTCGTGTAGCAAGGATTGTCTATTAGTACCCTTTATAGCACCCGTTACTAAACGAGCAGCCTCATACTGTACATTCTCAAGTGCATTAGTAGATTCATTTGAAGAACCATCCCAAATGAAATTTGCGTATTCCATAAGCCGTCTAACTAAGGTGAGATACATGGTGTTCAATGCAGATCTTTTCAGTTTGAACTTCAAGCCTTTCAACAAATTTAATCTTTTTGACGCTTTTTCATAAATTGTGTTTATATGCATAAACCGCGTTAAATCATTTGATAAAATTGTACCCAAATGACAGTGAGAAGTAACGTCTGGAATAATTTCATTATTAATAATAAGTGGAGGATGAGGGTTTTTTCTTTTTTAACTGAAAATACCATAGACCGAGTTTTGGAAGCATTCATTATCACATCCCATTAATTCGCCTAGTTGGCCACAGAGACAAGGTCAGTATTTAGTTTTATAGCAGATTCAACAGGTGACTCGACAATATCTAACAACAAAGAATCGTCTGCATATAGGAAAGTCTCCGATTGACTTTCGTTGACCATGTCATTATTATAAACTAAAAATAGCAAGGGAGCAAGAACACTACCCTGAGGCACACCAGCAGTTACATGTTGCGATTCGGAATAGGTACCCTCATGAACAACTCGCTGTTGGCGTCCAGAGAGATAGCTTTGTAGCCATGTGAGCAAGGAACCACTAACTCCTAAATACTTTAATTTGGATATTAACCCTTCATGACAAACCCTATCAAAAGCCTTGCTTATATCGAGGAATAAAGCCCTAACTTCTTTGCCATTTTCCAAGCATTCGTAAATCTGATGAATAATATACGTGAGTTTAGAAGTCGTAGAATGGCCTGGACGAAAACCGGATTGAAATGGATGCAAAAAGTCAATGTCCATTAAAAAATCATACAGACGAGCAAATATTATTTTTTCACAAATCTTGGACAGACTAGGCAATGAAGAAACGGGGCGATAATTATTCTTGGAATATCGTTCGTCTTTTTTAAAAACAGGAATAACATTGTCAAACTTCCATTCGCCAGGAAATTGTCCTAATGAGAATGAAATATTAATTAGTTTTGTGAATGACTCGTGTAAGCCATTAGCGCATAATCTGATTATTCGGTTTCCAATGCCGTCATGTCCACAAGCTTTAGTTACATCAACATTTTTTAATAAATTATATACTTCAACAGCATTAGCTACAGCATGCGTTAGGGAACGATCACAAAAGTTACCTGAAATTTCTGGGGCAGGATTGCTAGAACTTAAAGTTGATTGGGTAACAAAGTAGTTGTTAAATAGCTCGGCTTTTTTTAATAGATCGGAAATAAAAATACCCTCTTCTTTAATGGGTGGAATTTGAGCGCAAGCCTTGGCACCGTACACAGTTTTTACAACTTTCCACCAATTCTTGGTGTTTAATTTAGGATCACTTAATGTGGAATTTAATTTGTTAAAATACGAAAGCTTCTCTTTTCGTACAATTCCAACAGTAAGATTTCTTTGAGATTTATATTTGTTCCAGTCAGTTAAAGATTTTGTTAACCGAAATTTACGTAAGAATCTATTACGTTTGCGCATTGCAGATCTAATTGTACTGGTCATCCATGGCTTATCACGTGGGCGGATAATGATTTCCCTAAAAGGAATATATTCCTTTACAATAGATGAAAATTTAGTAAATCATTCATAGTATAGGGAATTAATGTCAGTAAAATGGTTAAATAAATCGCACCAATTCTCTGTATAAAGAGAATTATTTAACATACTATCATCGACTGAATTAAAATTCCAAGCAGATCTTTTGTAGGCTTTGGGTTTAGGTACAGATAGATTAAACTTAGCAACAACAACATTGTGGTCACAGTTTGCGGGTAGACTCAATGTAAAATGGCTTGTACAATACCCAGGAGAATCAGTAATTACAAAATCAAAAATTGGTTGGCTAGTAGCAGTAATGCCAGTCGGTTCCTTTATTAATTGAGTAAAATTATTCCCTCGAAGAAAATAAGCAAATACTGAAACAACCGCAGTGCTAGAATGGGTATCAACACTGCAATGCGCATTGAAATCTCCCATTATACTATAATCATTGTATAATTCGAACGATTAATTTGATCAATACTATCCTGAAAAGAATCAAGAAACTGGTCAATATCCGAACTAAGGTTAGAAGGTGGTCTGTAACATACGCCGATTAATATTTTTGAGTTTGATATAAATACTTCCGACCATAGCAATTCAAGCTCAGGAATTTCAAAGTCTTGCCGCCTATTAAAGGCAAGATAATTAGCCAAATAAAGTGCCACCCCACCACCCCGTCCTAGAGAGCGGTTTTTTGTCAACGGTAAATGATATCCTTCAATGCAAATCTCTTCCAGTTCATATGAACTCAACCAAGTTTCCGAGAGAGCAAAAATATCAAAATGATGGATATTCAAAAGGCTGTTATATGATCTAATTTTTCGTGACTTAACAAAGATCGAACATTAAGATGCGCTATGGATAATTAGTCGATGAAGTTGGACCTGGATTAGTATGAATATCTGAAGATAAAGAAATTGTTAGCAAACAGAAAGCTGCCATGAGTGCAAACACTACCACGAGATTCAATGCAAACCTAAACGGAACATGAACCAGATAACAACGAATTGCATGAGAATTAAACAGTCCAATCGTCACTCGATAGCATTCTAGCGAAATGCCCATGCTATGCAGGAGCAAATAATAAATATGAAACTTACCTCCGGGCTCCGGCTGCAGACGAAGTAATAAAGATCTAGTGGCTAATAAAAAGTATATATTAAATAAGATTATACAGACATTGACACACAAAAATGGATACTACTAAAAAAGTATTAAAGGTTGCTTGAAGTTAAAGGCAAATGTTAATTAAACAAAGTTACAATTATCAATCAACAGGCTTGATATTCAATAAATCATCTTTGCTGCAAACTACATGTATTGAACAGTTATATAACTTCACAAATATTTCACCATCATTTGCCCAGCAGGATGAAACATACTCTGTGTCTCGAGCATAGCGAACTAGCTCGAGATTATATGCAGTTAAATCTTCTCTTACGTAGATACCTTTCTTTCCTTTTAGATTTCGACGATTCTTTAATACTTCTTGTTTAGCGCGGTAGCCTTTAAATTTGACTATCATCTCACGAGGGTTGAAGCCACCTGGTCTACCAACGCGATGCGCTCGGTGTATTTCGGCATCATTGATTGAAATACCAATTTCATTTTGAAAAAAAATTGATACCGCTTGATAACAATCTTCACTGGGCTCTTCCTTTATCCCTCCGAGACGCAGGTTATACTTTCTTGAATATTGCTCGTTGGCATTACTCTTGATGGATAGCCGATCTACTTCGGCACGAAGCTTCGCGTTTTCGGATTTAAGCAACACAATTTGATCATAATAATACTGGGTAATACTGGGTTTTAATAGTATACATGGAATAAGATAACTTAATTCTCATGTCTATTTACATAGACATGACAATTACCTATATCTATTTACATCTAGTAAGAACATTATATATTATTATTGTATTTATCAATAGCATAGACAAGTGGACTGTTCTTAAAACGATCAGTTCTACTTTTAAAGTTATAAAATTTGTTTCTATTGGATCTAGTTTCCCTATTTCAAATGTTTCCCACTTTCACAGGTAATAAGTAGTGTAATTTATGTGACGGGGAGGACATGTTTTTAATTAAGTCACTGCAATGTATGTCCCGTCTCTGATTAAGTGGAAGTAGTTTAGACGAAGCAAGAGCATCTTCATAACTTAGATCAGGAGTGATAATCCTTAGAGCACGTTTTTGGATTCTTTCAATATCTTGACTTTGTGATAACGTTGGGCCTCCATGCCATAATATGTCACCGTATTCCAAAACCGATCGAATCACTGAACAATAAAACTTTAATAGATCTTTTACTGGTGCGCCATATTTGAATTGAATGAATTGATTTAATGACTACTGACTTTGTAACCCCAAAAGGTTAAATTACACTAGTATTACATAAATTAAGAGGATAAGTTAAAATTACATAATAATTACATATTTAAGATTATTCAAATTTCTAAAAACTTAATTACTGTTAATCTTTAATATACTTTGAGGTATAAACGAATTCTAAAAACGTTCGGTTCTGCAAACATAATTATGATATTTACATATCGGTCTTAGATCATATCCAGATAAAACTGTTTGTGGTAAAAGATCTTTGAGATTTTCGTTGTCAATATTCTTCTCAAAGAAATGTTCGCATAATTTTTCTCGTCGATCTCTCAGTGACGTGATGTTAGTCGTGATCAGCGCTTCGTCGTACTTTTGCGATGGGAGGATTATTCTCAACGCGCGTTTTTGTATTTTTTCAATATCGTCACATAAATATTGTTGGATATTGTAATGCCAGACCTGGCATGCGTACTCTAAAACAGGCCTAATAATGGTAGTATATACAGTAATTAACGTGTCAATACACGCGTTGGGCCTTTTTAGCAGTCTTAGCATATAGAGCCTCTTGCTAGCTTTTATAACTATGTTGTTTATATGTTCATTCCACTTCATGTTATCTTGAACTGTGAGGCCAAGGATACAGGCAGATTTCACTCGTTCAATATTAACTTTATCGACTGATAAAGGGGGAAAGCAATGCTTCTTTTTTGCAAAATCAATAACCAGTTCTTGGCATTTTCCAATGTTTAGTTTCATATTATTACTCGTAGTCCAATTATTGATGTAATTAACCAGTTCTTGAAGGTTGCTGTTACAATCTGGGCCAATGGTTTCGGTAGTGGTGGTGTCGTCAACGTATTTCCATCGGTCTTTCCAATCGGCGAGAAGATTATTTATCATGATTAGGAAGAGGATTGGGCCTAAAACAGTTCCCTGGAGTACTCCACCGTTGAGGATTTGCCATTCTGACACACAATGAGGCATTCTGACCCGTTGGCTTCGTTGAGTAAGAAAACTTCTTATCCAGTTTGTTATTAATGATGGAACGTCCATATCAGATAATTTACTGAGGAGGATGTTATGATCAATATGATCAAAAGCTTTGGAGAAGTTTAATAAAAAAATTCTCACAGCGTTTTTCGGCACATCAGTTTCGTTTAATAAGTGATGGAGAAGGCTCAATAATGCATGTGTTGTTGAGTAGTTTTTTAGAGATCCAAATTGCCGTTTATCGATCTTCTCACCAATCAACTCCATCAGCCAGTCTGCGACAAAACGTTCACACATTTTTGACAAAGTGGCAGTAAGCGAGATGGGACGCAAGTTTTTAGTAATGTCCCTCGGCACCTTATTTTTTGGTACAGGGATGACGTCGGCTTTCTTCCATACCGCGGGAACAGACGCCTGTTGAACGGAGGCGTTGAAGATTGAAGTAACAGGGGGAGACAGCAGGGGCGCATAATCTTTTAGGACCCAATTCGGTATTTCATCTGGGCCAGCCGCTTTCGAGGATGATATTGAAGATAATTTATAATAAATGTCTTCTTCCCTAATAATGTACTCGGTTGGAATTGTAGTACAATCGCTTTGTAATTGGCTATCGGGGAAAGGGATAGGCCTAAGGGGAGGAATATCTCGAGTAACGGATACGAAAGCCTCGTTAATTTTTTCAGCAAGTTGCTTTCCAGAGACGACTTGCTCTCCTAGGACAATACTTGAAAAATATTTCTTCTTAGGGTAGCCAGCTATTTGTTTTACGGTGCCCCACCATTTATTAGGATCAGGGTTACGTTTCAATTGTTTCAATTTATGTTCTAGGAATGCAGATTTAAGGTACTTACTTTCTCGATTGGCACGATTACGTAGTCGCCGGTACAATTTGTCATTTTTCTGAAAAAATGCCTTCTGTCTGCTTTTAATAAGTTCCTTGTATGAAGGTGTTATCCAAGGCTTATCTCGGTCGTGCATTTTAACTACTTTACATGGAAGGAAGTGGTCTAAGCCGGTATGAATAACATCCTGAAAAATTTCCAGTTTTTGTTCGCACGGTGCAGTATGATACAGGTTAGTCCAATTATAGTTCGTTAGCCATCTTCCAAATGCAACTTTGGCACCTCTGTTACCGGGTCTAATTTTTATTTTCTTGCATCCGTTCAATGATTTACATTTTTTTTAAATGCA